AATACCAATATTTGTATTTTCAGTGTTAAACCCCCAGCACTACAAGAACCAGCTAAATATAAATATGTTGTAAAAGAGAAGAAAGGTGGTGCCATGTCTACTGTCAGATGCAGTGTTATCAGGTTAGTTGCTGACAATGTTTTCTTGTTTCACAGGGCAAAATTGTAAAGAGGCCTTGGGCCTTATTTTTCACCCTTGTTATTAAAGAATTTATTGGATGAAAAATGATGACTAAATGATTTATTTTAGTCGTAAGAACCGCGTATATACAAGAGATAAGAATAAGTTATATTTGAAATTACATTGTGAACCTGTTGATGGAGTGTGGAAGGTCAAGGTAAGTGCTTCTTCTTCTGTTTCATTCATTCATTCATTCATTCATTCATTCAATCAATCAATCAATCAATCAATCAATCAATCAATCAATCAATCATTCAATCAATCAATCAATCAATCAATCAATCAATCAATTAGTTTAGCTAATTTACATACAACATTAGTTAACAGAACTATGATACACTTTATAAGAATTGAAGTTGAAAAATTGGGTTTTTTGGATCAATCAAATATAAAGGTGCCCTCACACCATAGCGATCACCAGTTGTGTATTGTTGTGAATACAGATTGAAGGAACTGTAATAGTCTATCTAGCTAACCAAATGTTGAAAACTATTTAACTTTTTGACAAAAAAATTTCAATCAATCTTTTGTTCTATTGAACAGGATGAGAGTAAATTGAAATTCAAGTTGAATTCCTGCAAGTTTGATCAGTTTTACGCTGGACCAATGCCAACATTTGAAGTTTCTAGTCAAAAGAAAAAGCCGGCCAGTAAAAAATCAGACGGCAAACCTGGTACAGAGGGGTCAGCATCGAAGAAATCCAAAACAAAGGACAAGAAACCAGATCCTGCTAAACGTGAGTATACTCATAGCGTCCTTGTGTTTCTACCTCTACTGCCATACTATTTTGAAAATTTTACAGTCCATTATTTCTTAGCATCTAGATTAACATTCTTTGGTAAATTTGGTTGTAAATAGGTTAGATCTTACAAAAACTGACACATTTTTCTTGTCTAGTGTCCTAAATTAACATTAGACATTTTGGAGCTATAATTAAACATTACTGGCATATATAATATATAAATAAATCAATTACCACCAACCCCGCAAAACCAAACATGGCAAAACATTGGTAGCAGCTAATGAAGTTTCAATATATAAGCTTACATAATCAAATCAACAGTCTAGAGATGCAACCAGACATGACTGGCAAGTAAAAACATTTTATCATCCCTGATCCAATGTCTTATGTCTTTGTTGTATTTTAGACAATCCATTTATACCTGACTATGGTGTGGATCAAGAAACTCTATTAAAAATGACCACGGAAGAAAGAGCTGCACAAAGAGAGAAAGTCAAACAGGAGAGACTGGAAGAGAGAGAGAGAAAAAAAGAAGAAATTAGGAAAAGGAATGAAGA